ACTGCCACTTGGTCAAGAGAAGTTATTGAACATAGTCATTCTCTTAGTAAGAACTGAGATAAACAAAGTAAATTTTGAAAATCTCACTTTGGGAGACTGAGGTGGGAGAATCGCTTGAAGCTAGAAGTTTGAGACCAGCCTGGGTAACATAGCGAGACCCTATGTCTCCAAATTTTTTTTTTTTATGTTAGCTGGGTGTGGTAGCCACCCTGGAGACTTAGGCAGAAAGATCACTTGAGCCTAGGAATTTGAGACTGCAGTGAGATATGATAGCACCACTGCACTCCAGTCTGGGTGACAGACTGGGAGCCTGTCTCTAAACCAATAAAAAGAAGGAAAAAAAAAAGAAATTCTGATTTATGAGTTGCTTTCATTTAAGCCAGGGCACACATTTTACCTTTTACTTCAGGTTCCAGTATGGCTAAGCATGGCACTAGTCTTTTCAAAATTTTGATATTTTGTTCAGCAAAGGTTTGTGACATCAACTTGGATTTTTTAAAATATTACATTACAATATAGTAATATAGTGAGTTTTTTGGTACCCCTTAAATTCTGTGTCTAGGCAAGTCTCTTATTTTCTGGTTCGCTAGTCCCAGCCCTGTTATGATACCCTTGTTCTGTTTCAAACACTCGCATTCAATATACCTTGTCTTTTTTTATTAACCTTCCATTCTCATGCCGTATTAATTCATATCGCTAAATCAAAGGGTGGTGGATCTATTTTAAGTACCTTTGGAGAAAAAAGCTTATAATTCTAATAAATATTCCAGACAAGCAATTCAACAGAACAAAACAAAACTTGGACGTCTTGCATTCTTAGTAATAAAAATCTCTTCTAATCTCCCTTTGGCATCCCGTTTTGGTTGAAGCCAAACCTTTAAGCAGACAAATGAGGGAAAAAATAGTGAATTCTCCTTTCACTGCTTCAATACTGATGCTGTGGAAAGAAGGGAAAAACCCAAACAAAAACAAAACATTAAGTCCCCAAATATCACTAAATGTTTGCTCTTTCAAGACAGAACTTATAATAAATATTTTATTTTTCTTGGTTTTGCACTCTTTTGAAAACTTGCTTCTTTTCCCCTCCAAGTAAAATCTTATGCAGTTTCCACTTGGCCTCACAGGAATGTAAAGCTTTATTTAGGTATGTGAACTGGAGGCAAAGAACAGAAGCTTCAGGAAAAAAAAAGTGTTACAAATGAATGATGGGCTTTACTTTTAGACACTATGCCACAACTTAAAGTGGATGGGTTGTTCCTTGTGTCATATTGCCCGGTAGATTGCTAGCTCATGAAAACCAAAGTAGAATCTAGTGATGCCCAAGTCTTTAGTAAGTAGTTGTAAATGAACAAACTGCTAAAATTTAAAGTAATACAATAGTAATTGTTAACATTTACCTAGTATTTATGATAAGCCAAATAACTCTGTATTAATGTTGGCACTTTTTATCTCGTTTGCAGATGAGGAAACTGAGACAGAGAGAGATGAACTAATTTACTCAAGACCACATAGCTAATAGTAGTGGAACTAGAATTCAAACTTTTGATCTGTTTCTGGATCCAAAGTTGTAATCAGTGTATTTAACTACATTAGTATGTGGTATTGATGAATAATTGACTACACAATCAAGTGTTATTGATGGATAATTGACAACACAAGCACGTGTTTTTGTTGGATAACTAACACGCCAATGAGGTCAACACTATCTTGCAGTTTAGGGTACTGTAATTTACCATTTCTATAATCTACTATCACAGTAATCCATCATCACTGCATCTTGATTTAAGCACCACCCCTCAGGATGCCATTTAAGGGCTTCTGCCATCAATGCTAGCCAGCCTCTATTGTGCCCCCAGCCAGCCAACATATTTACTGTTATGTCTCCTCAAACATCCAGGCTTGTTGCATTCTCCCTAGTCTTCACAGTTCACTGCAAATCCTTCCTCTACTCAGAAGCCATCTCTGAGACTGCAAATCACACCACTTTCCTTTCTCCAAACTCCAAGTGAATTTATGGTCCAGAGCATTGGTTCTCTTCTTCTGCTAACACAAGGTCATCTTCTTAATGTCAAAAGATCACTGAGCTCAAGCTCCTGCGTGAGAGTAAATTTGTGAAACTCAATGTGGTAGATCTAAGCTAGAAGTTCTTAGCCCTTGTTGTTCATTAGAATCACCTGAAAATCTTTTTAACACTTTCAATGTTTAGGAGGAAAGATTGTAACCCAGAACAAATGAACCAGAAACTCTGATGGGTGGCTTAGGTACAGTTGTTTTTCAAGCTTCCCGGGAGATTCCAAGGGGCAGGTGAGACTGAGAGCCATGGATCTAGTGCCTATTTTCTGCACTCTGCAATGTACTTAATAACAGTTCTATTATTTTTATCATTAGAGGCCTCCTCCAACAAGTCTGAAAGCTCTTAAAAGCAAGAATTTACTTTGATTATGATATGATTTTAAGCCTTTTCTAGTCAAGGTTTGAATCATGGACCAGCAGTATCAACAACACTTGGGAGCTTGTTAGAAATTCAGATTCTCAGACCTCTTCCCCCAGTTTTACTGATTCAGAAAGAAAATTTTAACAAAATATCCTGGTGATCTGCATGTGCAGTAAAGTCTCAGAAGCACGAGTTTAAGGCACAAAGAGATCACCTACAGTTTAAGGGGTAGGATTCTTAAGCCTCAAAAGGCCACTAAAATATTTATTTATTAATATATGCATTTCTACCTCATGATATCATTATCAGTCTTCTGAGCTGTTCTTTTTTTTTTTTTTTTAAACAGGATTTATTGAGAGGACAGAAAAGCTCCCTCAGTCAGAGGGGACCCAAAGAGGTTATCCTTCTGAGCTGTTCTTTAACAAGTACCTAGAAGAAAACAAACAAAACTAACACTTATGTTTTTCTCCTCCTTACTAAATAATTTTTCTCCAAATGTTTTCCCTTCTCTGATAATGCTGGTCCCTGACATATACAGAGTTCCCATGAGCTCACCCTTCTATCCTGGAATCCCTGACACTTAGCCAAGATCTTGGTCTAGAGTCAACTCACCTAGACTTTACATTTCTGCTTCTTACACTTACAGTGATAAGTATGAGAAGAGGCTGAAAATTGTACAGCTAGAGATAGGTTTAACATGTACATTTCTTTCTTTTCCTAATAGTAAAGATTCACTTCTTACCTTGACATTTATATGCAAACAGCATACTTGAAAAACACATACAAATAACTCCTATCAACTCTTCTTTAAAGTACAACATTTAATCTATCTAGCAATGCCTTACAAAAGCAAAAATTTGGTCAGTCAACAGTCAATGGTTTTTTTCATTGTTTTTCAGCTTTCCCACAGAATACCAATGATATGTTATAAATGCAGTTTAATAAGAGATTCACAAATGGAAATGCTACTATGTCCTTTTTTATGCACAAAGAAGGGGAGCAAGTTCATTAAAATTCAGATGGTACATGATCGGTTGGAAGGAAAAGTCATTTGTTAGTATAAATGAGAACTTACACCTTGATGAAGGTTAGAAATGTAGGTAAAACACAAACTTAAGTGTAAGCCCAATTCTCTGACATGAAAGGCAAGACCACATAATGCCAGCTCATTTACACAATTGAAATATATTTTTATTCATTCATGGCTCTTGGGGCTTAAATCTAGGCAAAACGTCTTACTTGAGACAGAATTTGGCCTGGCAGTGACTGGCACAGACATGAATTTTTAAAAGTGCATTTGAAAAGATGATCCAATTAAAAGGTCTTCCCTGCTCAGTTGGAAATGGAGAAGCTGAATTTAACAGTGCTATTAATGTGATGATCTGGGAAAGAAGAAGGTTGAACAACATGGAATTCCTTTTCACCAAATTTCTCTAAATAATATGATTTTTAAAATATCTGAAATAATCATAAATGAAAATTAATTTCTCAAATTTGACATCAACATGTAAGCGTCATTTAACATGAGTCTGTTTCTAAGACACCATCAAATGAGACATATTATTTCATATATGACTAAGAAAGAAAAAAGTGCTATAAATTACATTAGGACATGTTACTGATTATAAGATTAGCCTCAACTTCAGAGATGATAAAACATGGGAGAAAATATGTTTTAGAATTGTTGACATTCAGTAGATTAAAAGTATAACACAAATGATAATTTTATATGAGATTGGCAACAACCTTTCCCATCACAAATTTAAGGTTTGGTGTCGTGGTGGTGATATTGCTCCAGGTTAATAATACAATATTATCCCCTTAACTGGCTCTGCCAAATGCTCAGTGCCCCCATACACTCTGTCTCTGTAGCACAGGTTGGAATTCACCATAAAATCTGATTAATGTAAAAATTCAGTGTGCCTCCTTTGGGGGCAAAAATGGCAGTAAACCATAGTCTGCAGCATGGCTTGCGTTTTACTCATTGCAAACATGGGTGCATGTAGAGAACAGTGTGCATTTTTAGCAAAAGAATACTAGATATAAAAAACAGAAGAGACAAGAAGTTGCACACCTTTAATTTCAAATGAACACCCAGGCTTTGGCTGAGATTTGTCTCACGGTTTGATAATGGGTCACTCCCGCTGATAAAGCTATATGAATAAGATGCATACAGGCATAGTCTTAGGGGCCCCTAGGCACAGTCATCAGGATTCTAGAAGTAGAATCACTGATGTGGGTTAGAGTCCCTTGAGCTTCTTGACGGTGATTTAGAGCCCCCCCCCCCCCCCCCCGCCTTACTAAACACAGTCAAAAAACCTCAAGAGGCTAGAGAAAGCTGAAAATGAAACAAACGCAATCTTGTCAAGTGGTTTCTAATTCGCTAAGTGGATTGGTAAGACTGAAACATTTTCTGGTGAGGTGAACTGATCAGAGTTGCCAGAAAGTTGCCAAAATTCCACTTCAGGTCACTCTGCGTGAAGTTATGTAAGCTTTTCTAATTCTTCAGAAATGAAAATAAAAATCCCCAACGTGGCTTTAGAAGATGGAAAACTGGCATACTCACGTCGATTGGGAAGCCTTTCTTCTGAGTAAATAGTCCACGACATCAGGATCAGTCTCTAACAGGCTGATCAGCACTTCGTTCTGGAGATCTGGGGGAACCTGGAAGAGCCAAATGTTCTGGCATAAATATAATCATTTCAGAAATAAACAAAATATGGTCATTGGCAACTTTACCATAGTATAAAACAAACCTGAAAGTAGTAAGAGAGCAGAGAGATTCGCTGGTTAAAACCAAACTATGCCAATCCATAAAGCTGGTTTAATTCTTAGAACAAACTGGATGATTACCAAATAGTCATATTCAATCAAAAATGTCACCCTTTAAATGCCTGGAGACACAACATAACCACTTGGATGCTTCTGTTGTTCAGGTTAGATTTTCTTGGATTTGAAAAAGCAAAATATCATAGTTAAGAGGAATAGTGTCTATAATTTATTGCCCAGATGGGAACACTTTCTAGAGTTCATATTTGTAATTATGCCAAGGCAACAGGCATAAATGATGACTGTTTTGGGCAGTTCTGGAACATCTGATCAGTTTACTAAGAGAACCAGCCCTTAAGCCAGACTGCATGTATTTGAATCCTAGCTTCACCACTTCACTAACTGTAGGACCTTCAGCAAGGTACATAGACAAGGACTGTTCTAGGTCTCAGCTTCTTCATCTGTATAATGGGGATAACAATAGTACTCACCACAAAAAGTGGTTATAGTTATTAAGTGACTTACAATATGCTGTGACTTTAGAACAGTACTTGGTCAATAGTAAATGCTCAAAAATAAAAAAAAAGCTGGCTAATGCATTTGCACATGCCACTTTGTTATTTGGTCCCTGGCTTCACTCCTTTCTTGCACCCTGGACCCTCAACAATTAAAAATTTCTCGTCTCATAATTCAGTACTCATCTAGTAGAGTCCTATCAATGAGCATCACGTGTTTCTCTGAGACTAATCCACAGTACATTAGAAGATAGGCTCACAACCCTAAATCATCTGTGTGGAAATGTTCTATGTGAGAGGATTAAACACAGCTATGACTGATGGTTTTTTATTCCAGAAGCTGATAGCCCAACCCAAGGAAATTCTAACTATTGAAAGAACATAAATTTTCATTTTGATTCTTTCACACGTGGGCTGAGAGAGAAGACTTTTAAAAATCACAGGGACAAGTCTTCTGAGAATAAGTATTGGTGGAAGAATTTGCTTTTTGCCTCTTACAGAACACTTTGGTTCTTGAGTTCAGAGAAGCTGGAAACAATTTTATTAATAAAAACAGGGATGAGAAAGCAGGGAAATGTGTTCCTTCTCCTATAAATCCATTCCTCCTACATCATCCTGAATTTTCATTAATGACATTGCCAAACTCTAGCCACACAAACTTGAAATCTTAGAATTGTATTCAATTCTTGCTGTCCTCTCTCTTCCCCATTCAGAGCCAGGAAGCCTACTTGATTTCATCACAGTTACTCCTTTCCTCCCTCTTCCATTCCAACTCCAATGACCCAAGTTTGAACCCTCATTATCCCTTTGTAGTGGTCATCTGTTGGCCATTACGAGCCTCCGTTTTTCTCTTCTTGTAACAGTTATACCCCAAGTTCCCTCTGAAGAACAAACTGCTACTCGACTTTTGTTTCAATAGTAAAGTGTGCACCCTAGTCTAAGTCTATTGATCATTCCATTCCCAGACCACCATAATTGCCTGAGCAATGGACATGTGACCCCATCAGGCAATGAAAAGCTGTAAGAATTTCCCTGAGACTTCTGAGAGAGAGACACACAGGGCCTATACCTATATAGGACCTGATGATTGTGCTGACAATTCGGCAAACAATACCAAGAAAAGGAAAGAGGAAAAAGGGGTGCCTTGATATCAGTTGAGTCTTTAATCAAACTATGTCTGAAGCCATATTTGCTTTTGGATTGGTCAGTCATGTGAACTCCCAGATTCCTTAAGCCAGTTTAAGATTTTACTTAAAAAGAAAAGCACATCTTTGGTGGACTTTTGATACAACAGCTTGCTAATTTGTGAACTATTTCCTTAGCATGTGTATCAGATTTTTTTGTACATGGTTGTCCGAATGCTTTGGTCAAGAAACTTGCTTGCTGGAAACGTTTTTTATTCCCACCGTGGAAGCCCTCCACTTGCCTGCACTCCTCAATCTGTTTTTCCTGTCTTCTTCCTTAACAGTCATCTGACACAACCTCTACTTTAGCACCACTGCACTTCTCGCTCAGGTCTTCTCCTATCTCATTCCTTTTATTCATTGCATAAAAAGTGGGTGAATGCTTATTATGTGCCAGGCACTGGATGCTTGGAATTCAGCTACAAACCAATAGACAAGAAGCATTATCATCATGGAGCTTAGTATGAATATGGGAAGACAGGCGCTAAACAAACACACAAGGAAAATATGGAGAAAAACAAAGCAAAAAAGGGCAATGAGAAATGCTAGAAAGATGCACTTTTAAATAGGATGATCAGGTCCTAGGGAAGCTGACATTTTAGCAGAGAACCAAAATTGATGACGGACTTGGAGAAAATCATTCCAGGCAGAAAGAAAAAAATAATCAACAATAAAGGTCTTGAGTCAGAAGCAGTGAGGAGGTCAGTGAGGTTGAAAGAGAGTAAGGCAGGAGGCGAGTGGTAGGTTGCGGTCATAGAGCCAGAGTCAGATGTCAGAGTCTTGCAGGTCGTGATAAGAACTTTTTCTCTTATTTGAAGTGGATGGGGAACCACTGGAGATTTTGAACAGATGACTAAAGTGAGTTGTCATTCTGCTGAGTTGAGAATCGATTGCAGGGAAAATGAAGTGGGGAGAGAGCACACAGGGGCTGTAGATCTATCCAGATGAGACGTGATGGGTGCTGAACTGAGACGGTGAGATGACTAGAAATATTTGGATCATGAAAATAGTGAAGATAGAGATGAGAGCATTAGATAATTTATTGAATGGAGAGAGGAAAAGGAACAAGAAGAAAAGATGACTTCAACCTTTGGGGCCTTCATAATTAAAGAGCTGAGGTTGCTGTTCTCTGGTTCAGAGAAGCTGCAGGAGAAGGCCAGGGTCAAGTTTAGGAGTGTAGCTTTGATATGATAATGTTGAGAGGTCTGTGAAACATTCAAATGAATGTGGATAGTTGGGAATAAAGATCTGGAGTTCGGAGAAGTCTGAATTGGCCATAGAAATTCAGGAGACACATATAGATGGTACTTGAAGCTCTGTGAACAAATACAGTGGCTTGGGAATGAAAATGGGGAGAGAAAAGAAGGGGCAGGACATTTACATCAAGGCTGGGAAAGTCTAATCTCTTACTTTGTTGAGTAAATTGAACAAATAAAAACATTGATCATTTTTACTATATTTTTTAAACATCATGACCCAATAGATATGTGCTATTTATCAGTTTTTTTGAAAAAGTAATACTTAAAGGGTAAAAATGAGAAATCATTTTTTAAAAAATGTTCAGCAAAGCAAAAACTAATATAGGCCAAAACTGAATATCTCAAACTCCTTTTAAAAAGAAAATCCATGAGAAAATTAGGAAAAGTACTTGCATTTTATCTAGTTAGTTAAATTTAAAATTTGCTATGCTTAGACATGTAATGAACATTTGCTCCAAGCACCAATCCATTCCGACTGAAGAATAAACAAGTAGAGTGCATGTCCTTCAGAGTGGTGCAAGCGTCACAATGTTGATTCTTTGAGAGTATGTGGTATGTCTAATAATAAATTAGCAACTTGAATGCATTATCAAGTTATGCTACCAGAAATATCATGATTTTAAAAATAACTTTCCATATCTTAATGTAAAGGTAGTGTGCAATTTAGAGTTTTTACTCATTCAGGTAGGTTTGACTCCCAAGCAATTGTAATTATTGAGGAATATTTTATGTAGCATACACGACTCTTACCTGGAAACAAATGCAAATAGAAAGGGTCCCATCTATAAATCTATCTATATATTTTTTAAAACCCATGATATCATTTTGGCTTGGAGACACAATTTACAAATAAAGAAAAAGATACCGTTTAAAAAGGTACATCTATGTATTACAGAAAGAATAGATGATATTGCTCTATGTATTATGCAAAACTGACCACAGTGCATATAATTAATTAATTTATAATACATCCTGTTGAAAAATGATTTAAGGTAGCTTCAAAAATTTATATGATTAAACCATATTTTTAAAAATAAAGGAATGGTTCATAGAATTAGGGTCAGTGGGAAAATGAGGTAAGAAATTTGAAATGACGCCCAGAACTGATTTTTTCGAATATTCATACAACAGCATACTTTGTTCTTTTCCCATAATTCTTCTAATATTTGGCTATAGTTGCACATTTCATTTCCTGTCATTTACTAAAAATTTCAAAGTACTGGCTCAATTCAATTGGATGAGCATTCATTTTTCTATTAATTTAAGCGCTTAATAGAGAGAGAAAAGTCAAGTGAATAAACTGATAGAAAACATTAGCTTAAAGTAAGTAAGAAAGAAATATCCAGGCAGACCAGTTACTTAGTATACCTTTTCAGGAATTAGGATGCTGTCAAAAAAATATTTGATTGAGTCAACAGTCCATGAAGTCCAGCCTTTGCTCTGCTGCTTATAATTAATGTAAACACTGCTTATAGTTAATAGAAATGTGGACACATCAACCACATTCTTTAGGATTCTGCTCCTAATCTGAGAATCCTACAGGCATATTAATTTTCCTTAATGGGGGTATTATTGGAACCAAAAGGGCTCACAAATTTGAAAATACCTTATCAATTGCAAAGAGGGCTAGTAATAAAAAGTTATATTAGAAATAGATGAAATAAGTTAAACACTCAAAAGTTTAAAAAAGCAGACAAAATGATAATGGACAATATTTGTCCTGCAGTTTTTTTTTCTTCACTATAGTCATTGTACCTCTCTGGCTCTGTTTCTGTCCACCCACAGAGAAGAATTATGCCCCTCCTCCTTCTTCTCTTCCTCCACCTTCTCTTCCTTCTCTTCCTCCTCCTCTTGATTAACTCTTCTTGTGGGCAAGTAAGTTATGAGATTTTTCTCTCTCTATGCTTCTGCTCCCAACCTCCCTTTAAATTTCTAGA